TGAAGAAGAAGTTGTCGAAAACGAGCTCGTTCGCTAAAACCACCGTGTTTTCTCTCCATGCCGAGATGGGAATTTTCCATCATTACACTTGTATTTGAAGTTATCGCATGCACACACTACTATCCAGTTACTGCAAAATAAATCTGTAAATATCTGAAATGAAGAAAGTGGGCTACATCGTTGGCAACACTGTAAGGCAATTGGCACGTAAGTAGTGCAGATGGGTTTTGATTTACTCGCATCAGAGTTTCACTGTAACAGATGGATTGTCCAGGTCCACCTTACATTAAATAAGAGCCGTATTTTAATGAAATTATTAAATTTATTTCTTATATTGTGGGATTTTGTTATCACATATTTGTCTATTTTGTACGGGGAACGTGCTGAAAGTTGACAGTAACTGAAAAACATTCCGTATCAACCTGATATGGTATGGTTTCAAATGGTGTTTTGACTGATAGTGCAATAACCCAATACAAAGCCAATAAATTTATAGTAAAATATATGGTGTTTTTATTTCATTCGTACCGTTGACCTAGAAGTAAAGCGCATCTCCGTAGGCGTCTGTGTGTGACAGGTCCCATCCGACAACATTTAACTGGCAAACATGTTTTGGTCTCTTCATCAAAGGAATTATTCAATTTGCAATCATTCATATGGTTTAAATTGATTAACAGTCATTGCCCTTTCGTTAGAAAGGTAAAGTTGCTAGTATCGAAAATAAATTTAACGTCTCAATGAAAATCGTTATTAGTTTGGTTTTCGGATTCGAAACACACATAGGTGAGTGTAAGCAATTCATTGAATGAATGTGTTGATAAGTTTACGTGATTTGATAAGCGGTATTTTCCTCTACTGCAGTGCAAAGGCAAAGCGGCTGACAAGTACACATGCACAAGGACCCCGGTTGAACGGTACAAGTGAATCAAGGATGCTGACCAACCATGATGAAACTACTTCGCAGTGTATACGAGGTTTCCCCGAAGAGAAGATCACGTTGCTATGTGTGCAGCATCCATAGAAATGAATAACTTTGAATTTGTGATACAATATCCACGAAGGTTCATTAAAGTAAAATAGCCCAGGACGATTTCAGTGGACATTTCTTGTTTGCTTATTGAAAATTTACAGTAAGAAATGCATGCATTCCTGGCCCAACATATTTGCTGAATTCATTTCATCCGACACACTACGAGAGGTTGGTATTTTTTCACTGAATAACAGTGGAACAGAAAAAGGGGTTTGAATCAGACTAACTGAATTTTATTAGTAATATGACATTTAGCATGATTGGCTACATTTGTTATTCTTGGCAANAATACCTTATTGTGACTGCTTGTATCTTACTGGACCTTTTCGGTTCATGGCGTTTTGTTTACTTTGCCTCGCGGATTTAACCTCAACCTCGACCCACGGAAGACCACCTGTCTGCCAGTGTTTCCTCGCCACTCCCGTGTCTCGCAACCCTACAACCGGACCCCGCTGCCGTTTGTTCCCCGCCTCATATCCTCGTATCCTATCCAGTGGCGAGAATTCGAACCAAGGGTTATCGTGTCGCGCATCTCTGTTCACGCCGCTGCGCTGCAAGAGCCCGGGGAACGTTCGCATCCAACATTCAACACATTTGAGGAAGGTTTTCAAATATAAGTCCGAATTATTCAATGTATAATGAAATCAGATAGAAAGAGTTTATAATATCTCACAGAAATCAGTGAGAATCGTCCATTTTGTGCAAAATGGTTACCGCTATATTCCAGAATAAAGTTTGTCGTTTTTTCTGGTCCCTTCCGCCGTCCGCTCATGGCCTACAGCGTCACACATACACATAGGCACTATATACGCGCTCCTAACCTGTACGGGACAAAACAGGGGGATAAAATTGTGCCGACTCCCATGGGAGTCATGGTTGTCCCGTAAACGGATTATGCATAGGATCAACATGGAAGTTAATGGCTTGCATTATCGGGCGTGAAACATGCTTGTCCGCATTTCACCTCACAAGAGATTATGGGTATTTGTGAAACTGGGGCACAAAAACACTGCCTCACACAGGAATTGTTTCCACATTTATGTTTTGAAAGAAACACCAAGTTAAATCTCCGAAGTATTCTTTGTCTAAAGAAGAAGAGGCTGTGAGTGAGTTTGATAAGTATTTCAGTGCATACACGAAACGCAAGCTGCAAATTAATCGCCGCTATTGAAGAAGCGTGAACGAGAAACGCACATAAATTTGAACGGACAGTTCAAAAGTCTAACCTTCTGCAGTTTGAGATAAATTATAAACATAATGCACTAACGGCAGATTAGAATAAATATCTATCCACCCTCTTGTGCTGTTCGATATGTCTATGATGTGAATTTTGCGCCAAGTCAGACATAGTTTTAATAAATTACAATGTAGCGTAGTTAAACTGTCTAGTTATTATACAGGGATGAAATAGATCAAGTTTTGATTAGCTACAAATATTGAAACTGATTTTGAAAACAAATTGACATTCCGTGATGTCAGCTGTTGTTTAATTTCGCTGTTTTGCCCAGTGTTCTTATGTTCCCCTAGAAGATGCTTTTTATATAAACTTAGTCTGTTTGCACTGAAATTGTTAACCCTTATATTCGGGATTGAATGATGTGATAGTTGAAAATGTCATTAGGCTGTTAGAGGTTTCCGACTGCACCTTCGTATCAAGTCAAATGCAATATTTGAGCAGCTTTATACCAGAACCTTTTCTTTATACAATCAATGATGCAAAAACAACTGCAAACAAAAAACGCCATGTCAATCGCACCGTGGAGTAAAGTATTACTTTTATTGTTGTTTTATGTTTTTATAGTCCCAGGGCAATTCATTAGAACTCCATGTTTACCGTGGGTGAACCTACCATTCAAATGCTTTTAACCCAATCTCCTGCCGAATTTCATTTTGGATCAAAATATCTGAAATGGTATGAATTTTCTATTGTCACACCTATGGTACTGAAAAGGAGTAATTGAATGATATGTTTACCTTAACTCTTTACTAACAAATGGATTAAATATGTGTAGTGCATCAAGCTTTTAATTGCGCAGTTTGCGTTTGCGTTTCATTACAATATTTGTAGAATGGGGCTCATTAAATTGGGGTTAAAAAACACATTATTGCACCTTAGGGATCTTCTTTAATGCATGCGAACAATATGACTATGTTTGTCTTTCTAATTATTTTTTGACAACTGTTATTATCGAACGCAAATAATACACGGGATCTGAAGGTTGTACTATCCGTCTAATTCATTTAGAATATATATTGAAGGGTATTTTAATATCTGATCAGTGAATTTCAAGCATTAAGAACAAAACATGAATTGCAAACACAAGTAGGGTTTTGTGCTGTGTTGTCCTGTAAAGAAAAACGTGAATGTATATAAATATATATGTAGATAGAATAGACTTAGGGTGAATATGGACCCATGTGACATTTTGATATAGTTTATGGTTAGCTGACATTTGTATCTCCTTTGCTTTACGAGTTAAATTTACCCTCGTACTCAACGAAATTCTCCCGATTAGGTACTGCATTTCATAAAAATTTGAAACATTTTTCAGTCTATCAATCATTTTTTATTCTTCATAAATGTAACGTTTTTATGTGAATTGAAAACCTGGTGACACGGAGAAGCTAACTTTATATTGATTGGAGTGGATTGTTTCATAGTAAAGACATGTGCTCGTTTACGATTTGGTTTAAAATGACAGTACAGGTTACACTGGAAAGCTGAACTGAAAATTTTGAAAACACGCGAGATCGCGTGACTGACAATTTCCAGCTAGTTCGTGTTTGTGTCGATTTTTCACTGAGGTTCGTTACCATTAACGTGATTTTATAGATCTACAATGCATTATTTCAGAAACAATTATTCAACTGGCAACGGAAAAGCACTATTGTGCATGCCGCAATTAAACTGACGTTCACCATAAACTGTTTGAAGAACAAACGATTACGTAATCGCAACTTGTAGTGAATGGGGGAGTACTCACTTGTAAGTGTTTTTCCAGCAGAATAGCAGCAACCACGAACACATTTCCGACAATGGTACACAAAATGAGAGGTATGAGTAGGGCTAGTGTCACCCAAAAATGTGCCCATCCAAAACGGGTTTGAAACACAACTGCAGTCACATTTGTACTGTTCATTATTTAGTATTAGGTTGGAGGTTTGCAACAGAATGTCTTTATCCGTGATAGATAGAACATGGATTACGTGTTCGGATGTTTCGCGGTGGTTAGTCAGCAAAATGTCAGTAATCAGTCACAGGTTGTAACGAGAATGAATTCGTCTATGCTGCTATCAAACCATTTTGTCCACTAGGTATCAGCTGATTTCGCTTAAATCATCCAATCAGACTCTGTTTGGTGTCTAGCACATTGATTGGTGGACATTTCGGCCAATAATATTTTTCGGGTTTCGACACTTTATATAAAAGAGAAGAAACTTTGTTCTTTCCGATTAGTTTTCGGCACGGCATTAGAATTATTATTATTGCTGAAACTAAACCAGACACTACAAAGTCGGTTATGATGTTTCGTGATGTTCAGTATGTCGTTTCAGTTCATTTCACTCAACTATGTTCGAAGTAAGACTTCAGAAATAATGAAAATAAATTAAATACGGATCGCGTATGATTCACTAATCTGCCTCATTCCACTCCATTGCAATCCACTTTAACTCGCTTCGTTATTGTAATCAAATGGTTCTCGGTGCTTCAGCTGAAGGCCATCATGAAATTCAAACGAAACACTGAGAGGTGTACAATGTTATTTGGTCTGTGTGCTTTAGTATAGTGTTGACAGGGAACTATTTCACTTTTGTTAGCAAAAAGACGAGTGTGAACCATTGATTTTGTCGTAGTATTGACAGTCTGCGCCACTCGGACTCATGTTTTCGACGACCATCAACTTGCAGCTACCATTTGATAGGCAAGATAATCGGATGAGCAAGAAGGTATCAAGCAGAGATATACTTCAGTACAGATACGTATCAATGCAAAGCTTCGCCCAACGGAAACGCAATCAAAGCGCCTGTTGCATTACTCGAGATCCGGATAGGTTGGATAAAAAAACATGGCAGCAAAACAAGCTTGCCTTCATAGTTTTACTTAACAGTGAGTGACAGCAGATCGCATAACTCAAAAGGAAAGTTTTACTGATGGGAAATCCGATTGTTGAAAATTATTCATATATTGACTTCCGAATAGGTGGTGGGGATTCGAGAACTGAATATTTGATTGATTGGTTGATTATAACTGACCATCAGTCAGAGTTCGAACTTCACGAACATTCCTGAGCTCTTCCAGTTAACCATACACTCGGAAGCACTAGATTTGAGCCTTGCTCTTATAAGAGCCAATCAGTAGTGCATATCGGGACTTGGTGGAAGGCTTTCGATTGGAGTTAACAGATATTCAACTGTATCTCCCTTCGTTGCTATGGGACAAAATTGAAGTGACTGGGCATCTCTTACGACAACACGTGAACAAACACGAGTTGGCATTTCGATTGCAACCTGGCATGAGCTGGTTGGCACAGTGGTAATGCAAACGCCTTCTATGCGATGGGGTCGGAGTTCAAATCCCGTATGGGACGGTGGATATGCACTTCTGATGAGCTCCTATAAGAGCGAAACTCGATTCTAGTGCTTTCGAGTATACGGTTAAATCGATGAACTGAGGATGGAACAACTAAAAGCTATGTCACAACGGGTTTCGAGCTCAGGACCTGCGGTTATTTATTCTTATTTCTCCCCAGATAGACCGAAGTCAGTTTAGCACGCACACCCATATCGGCCGGAGGTGATTCAATGGATTGAACCAAAAGACTCCCAATTCTCAACCATGTGCTTTGTTTCTATCGTGATTTGTGAGAATCATGCTCATACATGATACTGTCGATCGTCAATCGAACCAAACATTCTGGTTACTGTCATCTCGTTCCATCGACAGGATTCCTGTTGAAGGAGTCTTGGTGTTTGTCTTGAAGAGATATTGCTCTACTAGAAGCATTTTGAACTAATTATGCGGTAATGTCGTTTTACTTCGTGATCAAACGTAAACAATGAAGGAATCAAGAGCACATTTAGAAGAATAAGGGTGAAGTCACTTTGGTGAGCAAGAGTGTTATTCAGAACCTCTTTCAAGTGTATTTCGAGTATCAAGCTTGGATCACCCGATTCGATTGCTTAGAGGTACCTGGCTTTTTTGACGGTCTTGGGAGTGAGTTTCACCCCTTGGGTGAAGGTTAATTATTCAAAAGGTAGTGCATTTAAATGCAATTTGTCGGTTATCGCAAACATTTCCATCGCATTTGAACGCCATTACCCTGTGGCGGAATGAACGATCTCCCAAGGAGTAAACCACACACTCAAGATCAGCATCAGTGGTTGGTATCTCTGAGTAATCGAATGGGCTAATCCAAGCTTGATGCTCCAAATTGATCGAGCCATTCACGTAAGATTATGACCGTCTACCGTTTAGCGCAAGGGCAAAGGGTTTGAAGTCCCAACCCGAATGTTTGCGGTTCGGGTCCTGACAGGGACACAAAAATTGCGCACTGCTGACGTGGCCAAACCAGGAAGAAATAGCTGTCCAGTACTCTTCGTCGGTTACCACAAACATTTCGTTTTTCAAACGGTTTGTGTTAAACTCAGTGACAGAAAATTGTTAACTAGCGATAAAATAATAGTACTTCCATTATTCGAAGAACACCTCTTGTGCGTGATTTAAAAACGTACAAATACAGTAGTTGAAAAGTAGGAACAGTACACAATTTATGAATTTTTACGTATTGAGTAAAACAGAGCAACTAGTAGTTCGTTATTTTCTAGATGATGACACAAGATGGATGGCAAGCAACTTCATGCAGTGCTTTATTGGGCAGGCCTCTACGGCGTATTTAGACATTTGATGCTAATAAATTTTGATTTATTTTGCGGCCAAAGTTCACATAACCATCTGAGTGTATGTGTACTAGTATTGATGAGGATGAGTGTATTTCAAGTGTGAATCCTGACTTGCGTCAATATTTGGTTGTAATGCGCTGTTCATATGGTCGGTTCCTGGCCAGCTATTTTGGTAAACATAGATCTGTTACGTTTTGAAGGATTCTCATCGAATCACTAGTGCCGGACTGTGTCAGGCTGCAGTGCATTCCAGGATGAGTGAGGAGTACCTGGTGTACGGATTAGGCCTTCACTCAGAGAATTGCTACTAATTTGTGGTACCGTTAGAGCAAAGTGCAACCCGATTTGACAGTATTATTCAATTCTCGTACGTTGTGGCTTCTGGCATGTTGCATAAAATCAAAAGCGATTTGCCAGAGACCAATTTATTAAATTCGAATGAATACAAACTGAGTTCAGCTCAATAAAATCAGATCATGTGTTCCGAACCAATGTATTTCTGTGATGCTGCACATAATTCTAGTTGGAAATATTGTATTTGTGTTGAATTTATTCCTATTCAAAAAATATACAAGATTATTGTCCAGGACTGAAATCTTCTTAATGAACTACGTAGCTCCGAAATGAGGTTCAACTATTAAGACACTTGGGACTGCTGTTTTAAACCACCTAAATCATTGAGTAAGTGAAAAAGTGTCTGTTTGGTTTGGAATTTTGAACATGAACAAAATCAGAGAGATTATTTTCCATCAACACTCTGGGTTTGGGAATTAAGACATAACATAAGTGCTGGTGCAAAACCAATCAAAAGGAAAAGCAGAGAGAACATAAAATCAATCACAACAGTATTTTGGATCCGTGGGTCACGGCCAACGCTTCACAATCGAAATTTTATGTTAAATGAGCCACCATGTTGACAGAGTGGGTCACAAAGCCAGTTTTGTAGTCAGCGTCATCAAACTACAAAGGCACACCTCAGCTACCGATCTCGTGACCCCTATGAATAATAGGACGGTTACCATATCACTCCCAGACGTGACTTTCAACAAACTTTAACTAACGCTCTCGTCGAGGATCATTGGCCGCACTGGAACGGCGAAACCTCTGGTTGGCAGCCACATCCCTAAGCTACGCGTTGGAAAATCGACGTTGAATAATAAAACAATTGAAATTATGTTTGTTCACCAAATTTGGATGGGAATGGCTAAATGATGATCAATTATCCAAATCGTTTTAGTATAGTTATACGGGTCAGGCTACTGACTATTTATATCCGATTACTAAATTAAAGGTATTGATTGTAAGGAAGAAGCGATTTTTCGTCTTTCGTTTCACGGCTATTCTCTCATTGAACGTAAAAATCACTGAGTGCAGTATGTGCACCTGTACATATGTACCGAGATGGCCACTGACAGATTGTGAAGATCCATTTGTTTTTGGCTGCACGGTTCAAATTTGTAACGGGGTCTTAGTTTGATTGTTTCCGATCAAAGCTCTCGAAACTTCGACTTCTTGGGTTGGTCCCATCATCATTCTGATTTGAAAATTCATATCTCCGCGTGGAATAGTGGAATAATACGAAGCGTGTTCTTCAACCGGATTATCATGTGTTTTGGTTGCAGTTTTGAAACCACGATTCAAAAGAGTATATATGGCCACAATGGGGATTACCTTGATCGTATGCATAAAAATTCATTTTCTACGTAATTCATGAGAACACAAAATAGCTATATTAACTGGTTAAATACAGCCTAATTTATAATGGATTAAACAAGCGGTGAGAGGAGACCTACGAATATGCGAAGGAACTCAGATCTTAAAAAGGGATGATGGAATTGGGATAATTGATGTTTATGAGTCTGTGTGCCACTGTTTAAGCGCGGTAAGTAGAAGACAAAGGGTGGTTGTGAATGTTTGAGTAGTTGATCGTGTGGGAGTTCATGAGCGGAGTTTACGTCANATGTCAAAATCAGCGTTCTTCAAACTGCTTCTGGGTGTAACAGGGAGAGGGGGTTGTAGAGACGGATGGCCTCGGCTGTTGACGAAATCCTGAACTTGACCTCTTTGAATAAGCTACCCTTGAACGTATAGAGAGAACAAAAAGTCTCGGTCAGATGGTTCTTAATTGCCGTCGTTCCGGTCCTTATCATTCCCTGATTCAACCACATATGGTGATGCTCCTCGATTCGGTCAGGTATACGTCTCAGCGTCTGGTTCTGTGATCAAAATATCCTTATTG